GGTGAATTGATGAAACCCTAAGTGCTAACCTAGTTTATCAAGTGATCATGATATAGGTAGCACACTCCAAGTGGTGAAGCAAATGAAGATCATAACATGATGATGGTGATGCCATGGTGATGATCAAGTGCTCGGACTTGGAAAGAAGAAAGAGAAAAACAAAAGGCTCAAGGCAAAGGTATAAATTGTAGGAGTCATTTTATTTTAGTGATCAAGACACTTAGTGAGTGTGATCACATTTAGGATCGATAGCCGTACTATTAAGAGGGGTGAAACTCATATCGGAATACGGTTATCAAAGTGCCACTAGATGCTTAAACTCATTGCATTTGCATTTAGGATCTAGTGGAGTGCTAACACCCTTGAAAATGTTTGTGAAAAATTGATCAAGGGTGGTGAAGTTTAGGTGCATGGGTAAGAATCTCCACCGGCGCCCTAGACAGTAAAGACGGTGGTCACTGGGTGTGACCGGACGCTGGCCTCGGTTGGACCAGCGCGTCCGGTCAGGTGTAACAGCGAAGACGCTGGCGTCGGTCAAATGACCGGACGCTGGCAGGGTGTGTCCGGTCAGTGCTGACGTACGCTGACGTGAGGCGCACAACGGAGACGTTGAGGGATCGGACGCTAGGTGAGTCCGGTCGGGCATGACCGGACGCGTCCGATCGTGAAAATTCATTTCTGGAACCTTACTGGAATCGACCGGACGCTGGAGGCTGAGCGTCCGGTCAGTTGTAGTGGAGCATCCGGTCACCTCGCGTTTTACCCAGTGAAGGGGTACAACGGCTCTATTTCATGGGGGCTTCTATTTAAGCCCCATGGTCGGTTCAAGCTCACTCTCTTGGCCATTTGCATTGACATAGCAATCTTGTGAGCTTAGGCAAAGCCCTCCCACTCATCTCCATCATTGATTCATCATCTTTGTGAGATTGGGAGATAATCCAAGTGCATTGCTTGAGTGTTTGCATTTAGTGGCACTTGGTGTTCGTGTTTCGCTTCGGGATTCGCTTTGTTACTCTTGGTGGTTGCCGCCACCAAGACGGCTTGGAGCAGCGAGGATCGTCGAGCGGAGGGTGGTGATTGTCTCCGGCTCTGACCGTGGTGATTGTGAGGGGTTCTTGATCTTTCCCCGGTGGAGCGCCAAAAGGTACTCTAGTAGATTGCTCGTGGCTTGTGTGATCCTCATCTTGTGTTGGTTGTGCAGCACCCTATTGAGGGTTTGGCGTGTGATGTCAATTAGCGCGTGAACCTCCAAGTGAGTGAATCGTCACAACGAGGAGTAGCTTGCCGGCAAGCAAGTGAAACTCGGTAAAAAATCATTGTGTTCATCCTTTGATTCCGAGGTGATTGGTCTTCATTGTTATTCACTCTTGTGATTGATTGGTTCCTTCATCTATACGGCGGTATAACTTTCTTGATCACATGCTTTACATTACCGCAAACTAGTTGTCAAGCTCTTTAGTATAGCTAGTTGTGAGAGCTTGGTTGGTTGGTTGGTGTGGCTCTTTAGTTAGCCTTTGAGAGCACATTAACATAGGGTAGTCTCATAGCTATTGTGTGAATAGATACTATCTAACCTAGAATTGTGGTAGGTGGCTTGCATTTTGAGTAGGCTAGCGCAACTCTCGCTTCGCCTCATAATTGTCTAACTATTTTGTTAAGTGTTGTTGTAGAAATTTTTATTATGCTATTCACCCCCCCTCTAGCCATTAGGACCTTTTATCTCTTCTCTTCCAATAGCCTCTTTGCTCCCATGTTGTTAGAGGCATTGTTAGTCACTACTTGCACCACATTGTCTGGACCAATGACTTCACTGGTATGTGAGACATGTGACATCTCCTTAGAGCTGATGAAGGAGGTTCCATCAGCACAATTGGTGCACAGATTCATTATGCTTCTCCTCTTCCTATCTGACCAAGCATCAGTCATAATAGAACATCCATTTTTCATCTTCTCGGCTTCACGCTCCTGCAGCAAACTCTTGGTTCTTTCATATTCTTCTTCCAGCAACTTCCCTCGCAGTGCATCCTGAGTTGGAGGTACAAGTCCTAGACCAAACTGTCCAATTGCTTTGCACATTTGCTTGAACTCATCATTATCACATGCATTGAAAGCAATTCCTGCCAACACAACATTGAAAGAAGCATAATTAGTGTTCAGTACAGGAAAACAACATCTAATGAACTTTAAAATGTAAAAACAGCATAGTATACTAGCAATTTACCATGTGTATAGGCCAATCTTGCAATGTACTTATGCACCTCATTGGTTCTTTCTTTCCAAAGTTCCTTGTTCAGCTGTTGTTGCTTCAAAGAATCAGACTTGGTAGCTTTAGGATCAATAGCACGTGTCCATTTGTCAGTGGGTCCTAATTTGTGGGGCTCTGAACTTCCAACACAGGTGACTTCATCTGAATCTGGTCCAACCCTAGATACATGAACTTCCTCTCTAATTTCTAGCTCACGAACAGTCTTCTCCTCCCCCTTCCTTTTTGCATCAGCTAGTGCCTTCTTGCACTTCTCTTTAGCCTCCATAGCCTGTGGTGTTCTTGCTGTGCATTTCTTCACATTCTTTCCTTCATGAGCCAAATGCTCCTTCAACCTATGAATCCCTCCTCTCATCTCCTTGTCACAGAGCTTGCACTTCACCTTGTCCTTGTTGCTAGCATCAACAAGAACACCATATTCCCATCCAACATCATCTGAGTTCCTTTTCAGGAGATTAGTTGCCTCAGTTCCTGTTGCATCTAGTGCAGAAACACATTATTCTCCTTGTCACAGAGCTTGCACTTCACCTTGTCCTTGTTGCTAGCATCAACAAGAACACCATATTCCCATCCAACATCATCTGATTTCAAATTCAAGAGTTGCCTCAGTTCAGTTGCATCTACTTGTTATAAGTAATCCTAATTCAAGAGTTCACCATACTTGTTATAAGTAACAAATTCAAGAGTTCAAAAATCCAACTTTATTTTTATGGCAGCAACAAATATATACTTGTTATAAGTAAAATGACAACAATGCATTGGTAAATCATATCCATTCATGACATATACATAGATCCACTAGCTGGATCCTAATTTCCCAGAAATGAGACAATATTTCTTATGTCATACTCATGATTTTCACAAAATCATTTTGATTTCTTATTGTAGTACCTAAGGTAAATTTACCACATTTTGTACCCAAGCATACAGATCTTGTAGAACTGCATGTGCATATACATGATACACAATAGTTCGACAATGCAACTCAGACACATTGGTTCAGACCCACAATCATGAAGGTGAAGATTGGTGATAGAAATGGAACAGGGGAGATGAGCAGGGGAGGAGCTGCCGGCATGGGAGGGGAGAGGAGCATGGGAGGGGAGAGGAGCATGGGAGGGAAGGGAGCTCACCTTGGGGACTTGGGGTGGCCGGCGGGGAGGGGTTCCAGTCGAGGACGAGCAGGACGGCGGCGACGAGTAGACGACGAGCAGGACCGGCGGCGTGCGAGTCGGGGACAAGCTTGGACGAGCAGGGGAGGAGCAGGAGGAGGAGCAGGGGAGGAGGGAGGAGCAGGACCGGCGGGGAGGAGGTCGTCCGGCGGGATGGACCTCGCCCGGCGGGAGGAGCAGGACTGGCGGGGAGCAGGGGAGGAGCAGAGGAGGAGAGAATGGCACCGCGCTCCATTAGCCTCCCGCGCTTGGGTCTCGTGGCCGCGCGCGGGCCTGACCGCGCCGGAATTCCTCCCGCGCTCCGATTTGGCGCCAAATCGGAGCCGCCCTCGAGCTCGCGCGCCTACGCGCCCGCCTAGCGCGCCTCCGCGCCACCTAGCACTGCGATGCGCGACTATGCCCCTAGTCGCGGCGACGGGCTTCGCCCAGCGACTAGGCGCACGTAGTCGCCGAGTAATCGCCGCCTAGCCGAACTTTGCCTCCATCCCCATCACTCCTCCACCCTCCTCCCTCCCTCTCCTTAGCCCTTCCCTCCTCTCTCGGCACGGTGGCGGCCTCCCCCCCCCCCCCCCCCCGTCCGTCTTCATCAAGTGTTGTTTTTATGACAACAAAAAAAATCTAACATTTGTTTTTTGAGTGTCATGGAACATGATTTATTTAATTTGGAGGATTGTTCAAGTAGCTTTTGGCTTGCAGCTGCCAATAAATATGACGACTAAATTTTCTAAACATAGTTACAATAGATACACTCAAAGTTGCAATCTCAGATCCGAGTAGGAGCAAGTGCAACCTTTTGGTCTATGTTATTGACAAAAAAAACGAGTATAGTTTTATCACAGTCTTGTTTACAAGGTGGCACTCTTGTTTACAACGCGACCAACTTGACGCGATTATGGTCCATACTTTAGAAATAGACCGACCAACTTAATTTGAAACAGTCGAAAGACTGACCAACATAATTTGGAACAGTCGTATTAAGTTACTGAGACTATGGCTATGGATATTTTTGCTAAAAAAATAGATGTGCCTTTTAATAAGCTTTGTGCTTAGTCTGTCGCGCAAGTTTTATTTAATCTATCTACATTTGTGTTTTTTGAAAGCTTCTCTTTATAAGCCGGAGGCTAAGACTTTACAAATAACAAATGGTTAGAGTGCAAAACTCTTGCAGAGTCTAAAATAAAAGATTTCCTAAAAAAAAATTGCACAGAAGGCGGAAGTCGGAGCGGTACATCCCTTGGACCCAAGTCGGTGGCTTTTGTGTGCCTTTCCTTCCCTGTGCCTGAGCGCTTTAGCTTCGACCTCCCTCCTCTTTTGAGTCATCAGCACGAACCTTTCCAACCCGCTGCCGCCTGTGCATCTCCACCTCTGCTAAGCAAACTTAACGACAGTGCTCTTGAGTACTGTGCGACCCATATCCAACGGCTGAGATCCAACCGTTGTAGCGCTGGAGAATACGAAAGGCCGTGTGCTCATTGTGTTAAGTAGCTGGGTCTGCGTCTCTGCGACTGCGAGCCACTTAGCTAGAGCTCGTCACGGATGAGCCCAATGCTACCAGCCTGACCACGATGAGCGACGGAAGACAGAGCGGCAGGATGAGTGACGACGAGTTCCACAGCGTGGTGGACACGATGGAGGCCGTGGCGAGCTACTGGGCCAGGGAGAAGAACAGGTTCGCGCTCGGCCATCTGGAGCGCAAGGTGTTCTCGTGGTCCATCCGAGATATCTTCAACAGGGACCTGCTCAGGCACCAGGTCACGTCGATCAAACACCGCTTCATCGTTATTTTTTACCTTCTGTTACAAGCATTTTTATACTAGCTCTGGCTGGCATATATGTTTCTTATTCGAAAGGTTGTTGTTGGCATGTCTCGCTGCTTTTTGATTTCATTCCCGTGCGATCTGCTTTCTTGCAAGCCACATATATCCCATTTTGAGGACTCACAGAAATATCTTTGATAGTACCACAATCTCTTCTACGCATAATAATATGTTAAACTACTTCAATAAGTCTACGTGTAAGATAGTCAGCATCCGTTGTTTGTACATCAGTATCTACAACCCCTTTCCGGGCTCCGTAGCAGCTGTCGGTGCTGTCATGACTGGTAGTGCTGTAGTCATACATCTACTACATCATGCAGAACAATGCTGACATGTTGTCATGTGTAACTGGTAATGCTGTAGTCCTACATCTACACCGTACCACATGATCTAGTGCTCAATCATACTACCCCTGAAACCACAATTCGTTATAGTATATCGCGGTTGCTTCTGGAGTTCTGGGTTTATATTGTTGTGAAGTCTACTCACTCCGTTCCAAAAAGAATGCCGTTTTAGGTTTGGATTAAGTCAAACATTCTTAATTTTAACTGAGTTTATGAAATATAGTATCAACATTGTATCTCCAAAGATGTTTATTATAAAAATATATTTTATTATCCATTTAGTGATAGTTATTACGCATCATAAATGTTAGTATTTTTATATGCTAATTGGTTAAAATTGGGATAGATTGACTTCTCGAAAAACAAGAATGACATTTTCTTTTGATTTAGGGAGTAAAATTGTTTATGTGGATTTCCATTTTCCCCTTTTTGTTATCTTTGTTCTTTTCTTTTTTGCTTCTCATTCATATGTGAAAATCTGGTACCTACGTGAGCCGGAGCTCAGCTGGAGATTGAAATGCTGACAAGCCAAAGATTTTGCCTCTGTGCTTCACAATAAGCTGCTAATACGCGGCGGTAGCCGTTAGAACACAAGTGCTGTGAACAAGCGACCAATTAGCCAAAATCCTAATCTCAGGGGCCCAGGCCCATTCAGAGCCTACAGACGGCGGCCCAACCCCAAGGAAGCCGGCCCATCTCAACATTTTTTTGACGCTCCCTGTGACGGTGTGACTCTGTCCTTGCGCGCTGCGAGTCCTTGACTCCGCCGCTGCTACCGGCCGCGGCCGGCAACCGTAATGGAGGCGGCGCCGCCTTCGTGCCTGCTGGGGAACGAGCTTCAGACCGTTTACTGCTCCCATGGCTCTTCTCCTCCGAACCCCTCCCTCTCTGGCTACTCCCTTCTCCTCTTCATTTCTTCAGATATGTGTTTGGTTATGTGTGTTGTTGAGGTTCTAGTAAACAGGAATTAGGAACAGCTTCGGATCGAGTCTAGTAGGGTCAAGTCCCTTTTTGGAAATTTTATCTTGTGCTTCCTATGTGTTGTGTGTGATTGGTAGTTAAAAAAATTATGTTGCTGAATATCTTTTGTTTCTCCGTTCATTGGGGTGCTGGATTATGATCTGTTAGCGAAGCTTTAGTTTCTGCTATTATTTAGATATGTTTTCATATAACCTGTCTCATTTTTCTAACACACACTATCTATAGAAATATGCAATCTGTTATTTATGATAAGGATGTTATTGCCATCTACAATTCTTTCCTGTTTCAGTTCTAATAAAAGTCTAAATATATAAAGTGTTATACCCTAGCGTGCTAATGCTTCATCTATTCTCTGCTGGAGTAACAATTTATTTTGTCTTACTTACCTGCTCGCTGATGCATGTTCTATTAATTATAGGCTATAGCATATACCTTTGAAGTTTGCTGAGTTTTACCTGCACTGCATTGCTACCTTCTAATTAGATGTTGGCTGTACTTAATTTTACTTGTACTGAAGTGTTCGAGAAAAAAAAACAAAATACTTGTACTGAAGAAATCTGATAATCACTGCAGGTCAAGAGGATACCAGATACTTTTGAGTCTTTTGCGAGTTACTTGAACTCCTTTGCCTACCCATTGATTGAAGAAGTGCGTACTGATATCTTCTCTTCATTGGATGGTTATGCTCATTCGAGCTTCATAGAAGTAATCCAAATGGAAAAGCTTGACAACGAGAGGCCAATATTTGGTCTTGAGGTTGTAGAACCTGTGAAGGATGAGAAGTCAAGGGAGATTTATGAACCCACAGAGGGTGATATAATAGTCATGTCCTCACAGAAACCGAAGCATGTGTCTGACTTAACACAAAATAGGGTGTCATATGTATTAGGTTCGGTTCTGAAAAGTGGAGGAGACGACAAAATTCCACCTAATTGCTGCATTGTGCAATTGTCATCTGCCATTCCCATTGAGGCAGATCCTCAAACAAAAATACTGAAACGGCAATTGTTTGTTGTGTTTCTCATAAATATGGAGACATACAATCGTATATGGAAATGCCTTCAAATGGGACCAACTGATGCCAATCTTATTGAGCTTCAGAACAAAAAGAGCACTGATCTTGTTGATATGGCATGGCGGTACAAGAAAAGGGTATGCACTTGTATTTCTCTTTGACATGTTTTTCCCTCTATCAGCATTTATGTAGACTTAGAATGTCATAATTCACGTCTTAATTGTTATGTCTCATTAAGTGGGCAGCATGCTAGATTTTTTACGAAAGATTATCATCAATGCTGCATTATACTTTCTCTAATTTTCTGGTATATTGCATTTGTGGACGATGATAACCATGCTTCTTTGCATGTGATGTATCAAGTATTACGTCCATTTCGAATATATGGTGTATTGGAAATAAAAAAAGTCAAACATGGTAAATTTTGACTATCGGCTAGTTAAATTATACATAAGGTTAGTGTGCATGATCCATGTTTTACATGTTGTTTAGTAAGATAATGGTTTGTAGTACTTGATAATATATATTGTAAGAGAAATTAATGGTCAAAGGATTGAAATACTTTCTTAAATCCTACTACACCTTATATAAAAGAAATGGAGGGAGTATGTGACAATGCATTGTCTTAATTGCATAGTCCCATTAAGCTCTTGCAACCTTCTGGCTTTCCATGAAGCATTTTCATCAATGTTATATAACTTATACTTTTTTGGGCATATTGGAACTTTTTTGACAATGATAATGGGTTATTTCTTTCCACAGTGAAGTGAGATAAACAGTCTTATGTCTTTTTACCTTTATGTGTGACATTCATCATGGTAGCTAACTTATTTGAGTTTTGTAATCATTTTTTCATGAAGGCCGTAGAAGATGCTAGCTCATCATGTTTCCAGTTATCTCAAACCCTCCGTAATGAATCAGTCGATGGCCTTGGCCTTGAGAAGTTCAATCTAAATGATTCACAGCTAAACGCGGTAGCCGACTGTGTTTTAGCAATTGATAACCACTCCTCTTCCTTAAAACTATTATGGGGCCCCCCTGGGACAGGTAAAACTAAAACCATCAGCACTATCTTGTGGGCCATGCTTGTTAAGGGCCGAAAGACACTTGCCTGTGCACCTACAAATACTGCTGTATTGGAGGTTGCAGCTCGAATTGTCAATCTTGTTGGGAAGCCATCAGATGGCAGCATCTGCTTCTTGAATGACATTGTTCTATATGGAAACAAGAAGAGGATGAAGATAGATAATGGGAACGTCCTTTCTGCCGTATTTCTTGACTCTCGTGCCAAGCGCCTATTACCATGTTTCATGCCGAACACTGGCTGGGGGCATTGCTTGTGTTCACTCATAGATCTGCTTGAGAACTCAGCAACTAAGTACCAGTCATACATTCAGGATAGTATTCAACAAGAGAGCCCCACGAAGGATATAGATGAAGACACTTCTTGGCAAATGTGTCATAGAAATGATAACTGTGAGCAGAATAGCAAGGAGTCTGAAGACAAGGATAATTACAGTGATGTTGTTTTAAAGAATAAGGATAATGACGAATGTTATGACTCTGGAGATGTAGAAGAATCATTAATAGTACCATCTTTCAAGCATTATCTGAAGGATGATTACAACAAACTCTCTGGTAATTTGTATGATTGCATTGATATACTATACAATGATCACCCAAGAAATCCAGAAACAGGAAGGAGCTTTCAGTGTATGCTGGAGGTGCTTGAACTGATCAAAATTCTTTATGCTCTGATAAATTGTGACTTTGATGATGGAGATATATGGTCAGACGAACTACTTGCAAGCAAAATAGAAGACGAAGGGGACCCTGAGATCTGGCCAGAAAAACTGGCCAGTGTACAGATCAATTCATGCAATAAATTGAAGTTCAGTCTGGCAAGAACACTGTGTGTGCAAGAACTAAGATACCTTTGCACAAACTTGGAGCTTCCAAATTGTTACAGTGAACGATCTGTTCAACAATATGTTCTGGCAAGAACCAAATGCATCCTCTGTACAGTTTCTAGTTCATTCAGGCTGTATAATGTGCCTAAGGGAAATTCTTCCTCAGGTTTATGTGGGCTGCCTGAAAACATGAACCTTCTTGAGTTGCTGATTGTTGACGAGGCTGCACAGCTCAAAGAATGTGAAACCTTAATTCCGTTGCAGCTGCCTGGTATAAAGCAGGCTATTTTCATCGGAGACGAATATCAGCTTCCAGCTCTTGTGAAGAGCAAAGTAAGCTCCTTCAATTCAGTATTCTTATTTGGCATTTTATTCTTGGCTCTAGAGTATTGACTTGTAATATGATTTTTGTAGATATCTGACAGTGCTAACTTCGGGCGAAGTATTTTTGAGAGATTAAGTTCATTGGGCTACAGTAAACATCTTCTGAATGTCCAGTATAGGATGCATCCAGAAATAAGCAAGTTTCCAGTTGCCACATTTTATGATGGCAAGATATCTGATGGCCCAAATGTCACTCATATGAACTATAGCAAGAGTTTTTAGCAGGAAAATGGTTTGGTCCATATTCATTTATAAATGTAGATAGCGGGCATGAAACCACTGAAAAGAATGGCCGGAGCCTCAAAAACACAATAGAAGCTGCTGTCACAGCGGATGGTGCAGAGATTGTTCAAAGGTGAAGTCTAAGCCACTATGAATATTGCTCTTTTAGTTGTAGTGCTGTACTTCTTGCTATGATAATTATGATGTTCTTTGATTTAAATTCAGTCTCAAGGGTGAACATTAGGAGCCTAAGCTTATTTTTTCTTCTTTTTTATTGATTGCAGAGTCAGTTTCTACTGGAACCAAGCTCTCTGTTGGTGTTGTTTCCCCATACAATGCTCAAGTTAGAGCTATCCAGGAAAAGCTTGGGAAAACCTACAGTACGTATGATGGTTTCTCAGTGAAAGTAAAATCTGTGGATGGTTTCCAAGGTGCGGAGGAAGATATCATTATCATATCAACAGTCAGGAGCAATGGAGCCGGTTCAGTTGGGTTTCTTTCAAACTTACAGAGGACAAATGTGGCTCTGACAAGGGCCAAGTAAGCTCCTTGCCTGTACCATGCATGACCATCTTGTGCTAGTTCCTAATCATAATTCTAAGAGTGCATGCATGATGAGGTAAAGATGTTCAAATATTTTTTCTTCTTTGTTCGCAGGTACTGTTTATGGACAGTGGGGAACGGGACAACTTTGTTCAGCAGCAGTTCTGTTTGGCAGAAAATTATCAAGGACGTACAGGATAGAGGATGCTTTTTTGACGTCAGTGATGACAAAGATTTGTCAAATGCAGTAATAAAGGCCACAATCGAGCTGGATGATGCTGACAATTCAGTGAAAATGGAATCGCTGCATATTAGCAGGCCCAGGTTTCAGGTACTTAAATTGCCCTCCTAAAATTCATGTCTGGTGCTATGGTTATCAGATGAAAACTAAAGGTGTTCCATCTTGCATCATATCAAATTTATTGACAAGAATATAAGTCAGCTGTCAGTAGATGTTAAGATTTTTGTTTGCGTGATTTGCAGAAAACAAGGCCAAAATACAGTCCATGAGACGCCCGGATCTCCCAAGGTGCAAGTGCAATGTCTTTTGAATACATCGTGTAGGTGTAATGGTTTTGCTATGCAGACCCGAGATGAGGCTCCATCTAGATGCTGTGTGGGAACTGTGAAGCACAGTATTTTGTTTAGCAATTTGAGCTCTATGCACACTGGTTGCCCGCAACCCCCTAATTGTAGTGGTTTGTTTGTTGGATGTTTTAATAGTTTTATCATTGTTCCGTTTGGAAACAATATTTGGTTGTGTTTGTGAACCTCTTCAACTACATCAGCGCAGTCGTGTTCCTCCTGATGAAAAGCTCATGCGTCTTCTCTTCTATATATTTCTCCTTTGGCAGCTTGCCCTAAAACTAAAGGGAAAGTTGCAGTTGGTGTTACATGCCATACACTGCTCAAGTTTTGTCAAAAAATTTTTAAAAAAAGAAGGACGGGCCTGGTGCAAGCGGTAGAGTCTTACCGCTTGTGACCGGAAGGTCCTAGGTTCGAGTCGCGGTCTCCTCGCATTGCACAGGCGAGGGTAAAACTTGCCACTGACACTATTTCCCAGACCCCGCACAGAGCGGGAGCTCTCTGCACTGGGTACGTCCTTTCCTTTTTTTAAAAAAAAAACTGGTGGGTATCTTGTGTGATCCATACCCAATCTTGTTTTTTTTTTCTTTCATCTGCCTCAGCAAGTAACTTAAATTACAGGTATTGCCTATGGATCCTGGGAAATGCAACAACTTTATCAAACAGTGGCTCAATCTGGGCTGATTTAGTTCGCAATGCAAAGGATCGGAGGTGTTTCTTTAATGCTAGTAGTGACAAGACTATCTCTCATGTGATTGCTAAGCAAAAGAGTGATCTTTGTAGAGCTGAAGCCAAAAAGAGCACACCTCTCGCAATTTCCAGAAACAACAGGGTTTGGGTATTGTCTTGCAGGACCTTTTCCACTGCTGCCTCTGATCGATCTAAATTAGCTGTTTACATTAACATCCTCATTCTCTTTTTGTTCATGTTTTTAGTTTGATGCATTGCTGTATTGTGCTTACCTATTATTTTAGTGGAAAAGATACATGTGGAACTTGCACTGGAAATATGTTAATTATGTTAAACTCCACGGTTTTTTGGGGAATCATGGAAATTGACACCCTTTCAAAGAACAACAAAAGCATGGCAGTAGGATTAATACATCCAACTATCCCACTGCTGCTAGTCTGCTAATGTTACAACCAGAATGATAGGAATCCGATCCCTACCGATGCGAGTTCGTAGGTTATACAAGTGGGAGAGGGGAGGGCGAGGCTGGAGGCACGCTCGACGGCTTCTGGACGCCGTGGTCACGCGCAGAAGAAGAGAAGGAGGCGGCTAGGGCTACTGGGAGTCTCCCGGCTCCCTAAAGGAAGCACAGTATTTTGTTTAGCAATTTGAGCTCTATGCACACTGGTTGCCCGCAACCCCCTAATTGTAGTGGTTTGTTTGTTGGATGTTTTAATAGTTTTATCATTGTTCCGTTTGGAAACAATATTTGGTTGTGTTTGTGAACCTCTTCAACTATATCAGCGCAGTCGTGTTCCTCCTGATGAAAAGCTCATGCGTCTTCTCTTCTATATATTTCTCCTTTGTGCGTCTTCTCTTCTATATATTTCTCCTTTGGCAACTTGCTCTAAAACTAAAGGGAAAGTTGCAGTTGGTGTTACGTGCCATACACGGCTCAAGTTTTGTCAATTTTTTTTTTAAAAAAGAAAGGCGGGTCTGGTGTAAGCGGTAGAGTCTTACTGTCTGTGATCGGAAGGCCCCAGGTTTGAGTCACGGTCTCCTTTCATTGCACATGCGAGGGTAAGACTCGCCACTGACACCCTTCCCCAGAGCGGAAGCTCTCTGCACTGGGTACGCCCTTTCCTTTAAAAAAAAAACTGGTGAAAATGAAATTTGACAAGGTGCTTGTCGGGGACCAATATTAGAGTACCCGAAGAGGAGGAGCTAATAACCGTCAACGTTGATCCATCCGAGCGGTCAAGAGCACGACTACAGCTCTTGTCGACCCCCAGGTACGCAAGCTCCGCCTCGCCCGGCCCCTGAGGGTGGCTCCACCTCGCCTGACACCAAGGCCGCGGGCTTCGCCCCATCCGACCCCTGAAGGTTGGCTCCGCCTCGGCCTACACCAAGACCGCGGGCTCCACCTCGCCCGACCCCCCGAGGGTTGGCTCCACCTCACCCGACCCTCGAGGGTTGGCTCCGCCTCGTCCGACCCCCGAGGGTTGGCTTCGCCTCTCGGCCGACACCAAGGCCGCGGGCTCCGTCTCGCCCGACGGAGACCCATACCGCCGCCAACCACTCTAGGTCCAAGCGTATGGGCATGGGTCAAAGCTCTGACACCAGAGAGGTGGCCGGCACGCCCCGATATAACCCGTGGCCATGACGGGCCATACCTGGGGGCTCACATTAGAAACAGCATCGGGTGTACCGGTACTATTCTGCCTAACCCTCGTACGAACACTGACAGACGCGTCAGTTCACCGTGACGTCCGCCAGGACGGAGTAAAGCGCCATGACCGGGAGACGACGCCTGCACATGGCGCCAGTGACAGACAGGGCTGCGATGTGGAGCTGTCCTTGTTGACGTCTACAGGGTCGGCGGGACCCATGTAAAGGAAAAGAAGGACCCGACGATCCTGGAGGACTTCTTCTCCTTCTCATTTTCCTCTCTTCCCTCCGCTGTAACCCCTGCTTTCCCTTGGCCTATAAAAGGAAAAGCAGGGCGTCCCGTTAAGGGCATCGCACATCAGACCGAACAAAACACATCCGCATCCGAGCTCGACTCAACTCGACTCGAATCAGAGCTCACCACAACACACCACCAGAGACTTGGGACCAGTCCCTCTCTCCGACCGTTTGTAACCCCTACTACGAACTTTCAGTGCTAGTAACACGAGCAGCAGCAACGAACTGGACGTAGGGACATTCTGCCCAAACCAGTATAAACCTCGTGTCCTCTTAGCACACCATCCGACCAGACGCGCAATAATACGGATTTACTTGTTGGTGGCAACTCAAAACACCGACAGTTGGCGCGCTAGGTAGGGGCCTTTTGCGTGTCTCGACATCAACACCAGGCCTTGGATGGCTAATCACGACCTCAGCTGGGTCCCGGGCGCGCACGTCCACTTTGGGGACCTGGACTTCATCGTCACGGCGGAGGCAGAGTTGGCAATGGCTCCCGCCGCCGTCTGACCTCTCCACGGGAGGCTTGAGCGCCAGCTCGGCATCTTCCAGGGACCCCAACCATCCCGGGAGGACCTGCGGCGCCTCACCTTTTTGTTCACCAACATCATGGCGTAGCTTGCCGGAGGGGAGCCGCTCTCTCTAGAATACCTCATCCAGAGCGCCCCGACAGCGCTCCTGTTCGGTCTCCGCAACACCGCAGAGACCGATGACCACCCTGTGGCGCAACGCACGCCTTCATCCCCCGCAAACGATGGGTTTGTAGGGATGACCGAATACATCGTGGAATCTTTCCACGACCTCCTCATGGGAGCATCGGAGTCGCCCTCTGGCTTTGACTCTAGCAGGGGAGTCATCACCCCTCTCGTGAATGTTTTATGGTAGGTACCCCCGAGGGACACGTCGAAAGCATCCACGAAGAGGAGGCTACCCCGACGAATGACCTCGACGATGAGGTCGAGGGAGAGACAGCGGCCCCGCCTCGCATGCGGGTGGAGCAGCTGAAGGCCCAACACCAAGAGCTCGAGGAAGCGTGACTCCAACTCGAGTAGGAATGCGCAGAGCTCGATCGGGAGATCGAGCGCCACGGAGACGGTGGGCACACACGCGTCATGGCCCGCGACATGAATCAGAGGATCGTCGCAGACGATGAAGCCCTCCCACACTTTGCCCAGGCGAGCCAGAACATCGCTGCTGCGGCGGCCTTGCTCCGTGGGCTTCGGCGAGATTCGCACGCTGCTCGAGCGTGCGGCGGCGCAGCAGGCCAAGAGCTCGTTGTCTCGATGACGCGAGCTCGACGCCAGCCAGCGCACGCCCTCAGAGTGCCCCGGCAAGGACGCGTCAGTCCACCAGGCGTGACAAGGTGGCAGGCAGCGCACCACGGTCCCGGTGCATCAACGTCTCGGCCGCAACCGTGACGCACGCGACACCCTCGACGCCCGTAGACGTACCCACGACGACCCAAGAGAGGGAGCTAGCCACGGCTATCACGCTTGTCGTGGCGGATGCTACGATAGTGGCGAGGACCGAAGCCAGAGCCCCGGCCTGCCGGGGCCTCAGGCCTTTGGCCGACACATCCTCAACGCCACCTTCCCGCTAATGTACCGACCACCAACCAACATCCCAAAATACTCTGGGAAAATGAACCCGGGTGTTAACACTGGATTTTGGTCGACTTCGGAAGATGACAGGTGGACCCGCATATAGGAAGAAGGACATTCGGCAAACAAAACGAGCGGTCGGCTAAATGCTTGTGCGGTCGGTTACTTCAGAAGGTGGTGACTCCATTCGGGAAAGCAGAAGATGGCAAGCAAAGCCGATCGAAAAGATGAAAGTCGTAATAATAAAGGACTCTGAGAGTTTAGGGCAAGGAATCGTAGTTTCCAAGTTTGTTTAAGAGTTCCTTTGTAAGTCGTAGTCTTTTAGGACTTGTGTTTTGTCTAGGGTATAAATATTGACCCTCGACCATTGTAATAGGGGTTCACAACCAAAACAATACAACCGGCCCCGTGCCAACTTTTGAGTCCTTTTGTCGTGTCGTCGAGTTCTTTGAGAGGAGTCATCGATCCGTCGACCTCCGTAAATTCCGACAACCTTGTTATCATGTTTAGTATCATGCGGTGGATTTAGACGTGATGCAAGTAGTCTTGTTTGTTTTCAATGATCGTATGGCGGATCTCTTTGTTTGACAAGCAAGAAGTCTTTGCTTATGCTTTGTTTATGAGTAGATACCGTATGCGCGTGCGTTTGCTCAATATGCTTAGTGAAGGCAAGACAGTTATCGGCTCTAT